GGTGGAAGGGAAGCACTCAGATGTGAGGTAATCCCTGCAGTTAAAAGTCATCTTGGACAAAGAAAAAGATGTGATTAAACAAGACAGTGCCCTGGCTCATTTTTATTTTCATCTAATTGTTTTATTTTCTGTTGCTTCCTATCCCTTGTTACTTCAATCTATTTTAAACACACTCATCAAGATGGAGTTTCTAAAGCATAATTCTCTGACCAAATTATTAATACTTCTCACCCCAATCTCCCCAGAAATGAACAGCAGCAAAAGCAAAGTCTCCCATCATCTGTCCAGATAGTCCCCCACTTATGGTTTGACTGATTTATGATGCTTTGACTCAATAATGATAGGAAAATGATAGTGCATTCAGCAAGTCTGAGTTCAAATCTTACAGATCTAACCCATCTTTCAGTGCTGAGCAGTGACAGTGATCACAGGTCCAAGTCACCCACAAAATCAAGAGGGGAAATAGTCCATGTTCCACAGTGTGCTGCAATGCTAAGTCTCGATATCCAGTAGGCGAGGTAGAGTCAGTGAACTAAGATAGTTTCAATCTTTGCAGGGTGTACAGGGACTGTAAGGCCATAGTAAGCTGAGGAGTGCGTGCCTCCTCTCCTCCAGTCTGCCTTCCTCACCTCCCCATGAGTGGCAAGTCTGGGGCTATTTCTTAATAGCCTCTTGCACTAATACATCCAGCTGGAGAGAAGCACTGACTGCTGCTGTCACGTGCCCAGCACCTTCTAGACATCAGGACAGTGATGGCTGCTTCTCCATGGCTCTGTTTCTCCCACTTTTCCCAGCACTAACCCTGCTGGTCCTTCAGAGCCCAGGCCTGGTGTGTGCCTCTGCACACTCCTCAGCCAGATGGATGCTCCCCCCCGCCAATGTGTTCCTGTGGCTCCTTGTATATTTTCATGACATTTCATCACTTCCCAGCTTGTGTTGTTATAATATGATGCATGGCTCATTTCCACTTATTAAGTATAAACCCCTGCAGGCTGGGGCTTGGCCTGATGCAACTTTGCTTTTCCCAGCAGGACCAGCCCTGGGTTAGGAGAAATATTTGTTCAATAAAAGAAGGAGTAAAAACCAGGAGAAGGAACATTGCTATTTTCCTGCTCCCCGCCACTGCCTTGAAGAGCGCGAGATGAGGTGTTTCAGGCTGAGAGAGGAGGGAGGAACGAGTGACTGTATTTACAGGTGACTAATGCTTTCCAAAGGAAATGAAAGATTTGCAATCATTACTACTTGCAAAGCTTTATTTTCCCACTTAAGGGCCAGCCCTCCAATTTCGCAATCTGAAAAATAACAGCAGGCCAGCAGCACGTGGAAGGCCATCCCCACAGTCTCAGTGGCTATTTTTAGGTCTTCATAGCATGGTTTGGGCAGTGAATAGCTTCTCCAGCTCCGAGGTCCTGCCAATTTTCTTACCTATGTTTGTTCCCACGGTCCCTGGGGCCCTCATGCAGGTTTCTTACCTCATCCGTTTCCCCACTGGACCCTCCGAGTAGGCGTACCTAGAGCTCATCAATGCACTTGCCTGCACATCTCCAAGGATAGCCAGCTGGTGGAGCTTGCTGATGGCCATCTGTGGTGTGAGGACCCATGGGCCTCCGTGTGTTGTAAAAGGGTTGAGATGGCAGGCAGCCCTAACCAGGGAGTGGACAGAGGCAGGGCAAGATAAAACGCTCCTTTACAAGTGTATTTGATTTTTTTCACAATAACGACAACAAATAGGAGAGTAAGGCTTAATGGATTAAATCTTGATTCTACTTCTCATTAGTAATTCAAGTCATTGCAGCTTCCCAGCACCGGGGCCCAGCCTGCCACATTCCTGCTGGTGATTGGTCCCTTTCCTTCCCTTCACTGGCTTATCACTCTGACTTTAGTGACCCAGCCAAACACAGAACTGAGCACAAATACCACGAAGGGATGAGGGCAATCTTCTTGGGTTGCTCATCATCCCAGCATTTAAAAAGGTGACCTTTTAAATCCATGGAGTATAACAAGCACCTCTCATGTGAGTCCAGTGGAAAGAGAATGGGGTTTTCCATAAGAGGACGTTGGCTTAAGTTGGCTTAGTCCTACTTTGCACCCCCTACCTCAGCCACAGGACCCTCTGGAGTTCCAGTTTTCTAAGGCCAGGTGATTTCTCAGTTCTCACCCATCACCCACGCTCTCTGATTTTGCTTGTGAGTTCATTAAAACTGTCACCTAGCAGTCAGCTAGTATCAGTTGTCCTGAGTTTCCACAAATGCTGCCGCCAGTGAGTCTACCCATCTTGCTCCTCTGCACTCTGATTTCTACACTTCAGCCAGAAGCACCTCACTCATCACCTTTCTCACACAAACAATGTCATTTAACTCTCTGGTTAAGACTTCCTCTCCAGGACAGCACTCAGTTTAAAAGTCCAAGTTCATTGATGTGGATTCATAATCTCACTTTTCCCTGTTCTCCAGCCCAGCTGGCCCTTGGCTTCTCCAGGCTTTTCCTGAAGGCCTTTTCCACATCTTTGCTGATTTCTTCTTCTCACTGTCAGTTCACACCTTCTTTCCTACCCAGTCCTCAAGTGCAGCTGGCTTTGTGTACTCCACCTCATCTCTTAGCATAGTGCCTGGCACTCGGAAACAACTGAAGAGACACAGGAGGTGCATCAACCACCTCCCTCCTCACGTATCTTCTTTCCCCAATCTCCTGGGTGCCCTGGATCTTTGGAACACCTACCCAGGTCTTGATTTTATGGCTACCACCTTTCAACTTTGTGGCCCTTACAATTTTCTCCAATAATGACAGTGGTTTTTGGTGTTCTTTGGTCTCCAAAGAGGAAAAGAACAAAGATTACACATGCAAATTCAAATCGGAGGTTAAAAACAAGTTAATATGTCAAAGGTTCTTATATAAAAACTCCAAAAATTATACTTGGCAAAAGGTTGAAATCTATAAAAAATAGAGCATGCAAATTCATGTCTAGTAAGCCAGGTTTTTACCTTGCTTTATTACAACATGTAAGACAGAGGGGAATATCTCTGTGTTCATATACTCATTCCCCAAGCCAAGTTTCAGTCCTTACAGGGATTAATTCTTCTGGGTTAAGCTATAGAGGGTGAGTACATGATGAATTTCCCACCACTTTCCAACCTATGCTACTATAAGGCACTGCTTAATATTCACACAACTTTTTCTCCCTCAAGCTTCAGACTATTCCTTACACAATGCTCCAGATATCAACTGCTGTCCCAGGAGATCCCCAGTGTTATATAAAAGTTCCTTGTTTTCAAACTCAAGACCTCAGAGGCTGGAGAACAGGGTAGAATATTGTTTAGGCTGGGGTATATTATTGAGCAAGTACTTCTTCAAGACAGGAAAAGCCAAGACTTTGGGTACTCAGGAGAGAGGGGTATGGACAGGAAGGAGAGAGGATGGCGAAAAGAGGAAGGCAGGGCTCGGTAGGAGCCAGCATGTGAGCTGTGGTCACTGTATTTCTTCATTCTATAACAGGGCTGGTGAAATCCATGAAATAGCCCCAAACTGTGTTGGGGGCCTGATTACCAACTGAGGGTTTTGAAAGGATTGGATCATAAGGACTCTGACCTAATCAACTGGATTAATCCACTGATAAAATCATAATTTGATAGCATCATTGAGAGATGAGAAAGTGGGGTTTAGGTGAAGGATGTGGATTGTGGGGTTGTCACTGTATCGGGCCCGCTTGCTCTGTGGCTTTTTGCTTCTCTGCTTCCTGGCTGCTCCGAGGTGAGCAGCTTTCCTGTGCTACACCCTTCCACACTGATATTTCTGCTTCCTCACATACTTACAAGCAATGAACTGACTCTTCTGAAATCATGAGCCAAAGTAAACCTTTCTTCCATTAAATTGCTTTTCTCGGGTATTTTGTCACAGTGACAGAAAGCTAACTGACACACAGGCACTGCTAGAGCCGTGGTCCTTTAGAATATGCTCTCTCTCACTTCCATCCCTGACAGAGAACTACATTAAATTACAGCCCCAACACAGGGATGAGGGAATTGTACACATGGACAGATTGTAAGGGTCTACAGGAGGACCACTGATTGGCCTCTGATATTTAAGGGCTCAAAAGAGCCCTTTCAGAGGATACAAAGACGTGGTGCTGGAGGAGAAGGCTACAGAACAGAAAGATCTCCCTCCTGATCAGGGAGTTGGTGGAAGTTCTGGCACCTGCCTTGACCACAAACCATAAGGCAACATTTCTGGGAATGAGGATTACCAGGTGGCCAAGTGATGAAATCCAGGGCAGTCACTTGTGTATCTCCCACACCTTCAGTAAGGCTGAGCTGAGGCCTTCGGGTGATGGACAAACCCTCACTAGGTGCTCTAGTGCCCGGTGCAGACATAAGTAGGCCCATAATGACGTGGTAACAGGAATGATCAAAACTAGTACCTCCACCCATCCAGTTCCTTTTTAATGGAATGTATGTTAGATGCCTCAGATCATTCAGCCATTCCAAAATTTTAACTGTGAATGGAACCAAAGATAATATTTTCTTGGGACACCACCATGTATGGTTTTGGAATGATGAATTCTTCATGAGGGGGAGAAAGGAAGTTATGATATATGCTCAACACTTGTGTGTTGTTTTGCGTGTGATCCTCTGGCATTTCAAAGTCAAGTAGTAAGCGGTATTGTGGTGCATGTCTTGTAATTCCACCAGTATGGGAGGGTGAGACAAGAAGATCACAAATTCAAGCCTACTTTGGAAACTTAGTGACTTAGAGAGACTGTATCTCAAAATGAAAAGTGAAAAATAAAAATGGTTGGGATATGGCTCAGTGCAAAGGTCCTAATTTTAATCCTCACTAGGAAAAGAAATCACACAAATAAGAATCATTCTTACCTGGAAATTTAAAGATGGCCCATTCCCCATTAAACCAACATCAAGATACTCTGACAGGGGGGTGTGCTTTTATGGAATATGCTTCAGGGTCTGGGGTGCCAAGCTTAAGTGAACATTCAATGGAATTCCTACCTCCAGATGTAACCAATGCTACCCACAGCCAATAGGATGAATCCTGTCGTCTTCGATGGATAATGATGAGGTCTGAGGATGATTTCAATCAACAAGAATAATAATATGAAAGAGTGCTGTAGAAGAAAAGATGAAAAATCATAAGGACAGGAAGCACTGAGTGTGGACAGTGCCCATGACTCTCTTTCCTTTCCACCTGTCTACTTACACCCAGAGCGCCCTAAAACTTGGTCTGTATCACACTCCTTAGACGCCTATGGAATGATGGCTGCTCACCACACTGGTCTAAACTCGTCCGTCTGGCTACCAAAGCTCTTTGAAATGCTCTGTCACCCTCTCTGGTCCTGCTTATTGCACATTGCTTCCTTAATCGCACAAACACACACACACACACGCCAAAATGTTTACACAGAAGCACAAACACACACACTCTCAAAAACACACTTCTACATGCCGGCATGGTCTATTTGTCTCTGTCTCTACGTCTGTCTCTGTCCCTGTCTATCTTGCACACACACACTCCTCCTCCACTGGAACAAGGCAGGGTCCCTCATTCTCCTTTGTACCCGGTGTGCTTCTGGCACTCCCCATTCTTGTCTGTGTCTCCCTTCCCTGTGCAGATCTGTGTTCTCTCCTTCCATTCTAACCCCCCAACATTCTTTGAAGCCAGTGCAATCTTCCATGCTGCTGTGTCTGAGTTTTCCTCTCCCTGATGTCTCTCTCAGGTCTCCTGCCATCATGCCCCATGCCATGTAGTCTAGCACTTACAGCATATGTCCGCAAACTGCAGAGAGCACATCCCTCTGTCTGTATTCCCTACTGCATGCAGCACCACGGGACTGAGCTCGGCCGTGTTGAGGTGCCGTGGGGTTTGCAAACATCTCCCTCCAAAACCTTCCCTGCTTCTCTCCTCCCCGGTATCACCCCTTCCTCATAATCATCTGTTTTCTCACATCATCTAAGCCCTTAAAACAAGATTTTTTAACATGACTTAAGCAAGGAAATCCTCCTTTAGGAATAGAGGTGCTGTAGACTCAAGGCTGCTGGGGCTCACTCACTTCTTGGTTATCCTGGAAGGTCATGGGGTCTATGAGCGATGTCCTCCCACCTACTGAAAACATTTATGAAGCCCTCTGCCATCCTTTGTCCTTCCTGATAGTGTCCCGTAGTGTTACTCTGCTCTATTTGTCACCAGCACAGCTGTCCTTCCTCCTTCACTGGCCCCGTTCCCACAGATCTTCACAAGCTCTTGCTCTCAGAGCCTCCACTTTAAAGACTCACTCCAGTCCTTATCCTGAGCCCCTCGGTGGCTGCCAGCCCCTCAGTTATGCAGTCCCCAGGGCTTGGGAGTGCCACCATGCTCCTATGCCAGCCTTATGCAGCTGGAACTCCTATTGTGGCTCCAGGTACCCTTTGCCATCTGTCCCATGGGTCTCACATGTAGAATATATTCCCACGAGGCAGTGGCTTGCTCCAACCTTGGCTACACTAGAGAGGGCCCAAGTGGGAGATCAAGAGGACTCTCAGATGACAAGAAATATGACAAGCTTTGATGGAACCAGGATGGGGTCAGAAAAGCCAAGTCTTAAGGATGGATAGAGTTCTTCAGGGAGATTGGCTGGACATGGCCTTCAGGGGTGCGCAGGCAAGGCCACAGCTGGGCGACACAGGCTGTCTCTCAAAGGGCCTTGAGGATCTCACATTTTAGGACAAAATCCACAGGAACAGCATAGTCAACAATCCATTACTTTTCCATACCTTGTCTGGCATTGTCCCGAATAGCCTGGCTGGACAGACAAATGGAAGAGCTTCCAGGCCCACCCTCATGTCCTGCACTTCTCTTTGGCCTGGTTTTAGTCTGCAATTTCTGTATCTCCTCCAATGAGGAAGTATCATGGTTAAGGGTGCACACTTTCTGCCGATGGATTAGTTTCACAATATCTCTGAACTTCAGATTGGCTGTCCCCAAATGGGGGCAATAAATAGGAAGGATTTCCTAAGGGTTGCTGGTGAGAGCCAAGGAAAAGGCATGTAAAGAGCTGCCAGGGAGCCTAGGCTGTGACTGTCACCCTTCCTGTCAGTGGCGGACCTAGGGTGGCTGAGCACAAGGATCTGGGATACCTACAGCTCCAGGTAGCAGGCCTCCTCTGGCTTCCACGTCCCCTGGTCTGTGGCTGGCAGGAGGGTGCAGGATGCATAGCTCAGAGGGGGCATAGCTCAGAGCCCTCTTGGGTTGTCCTGAGGCTCCCTTTCCCTGCCCACAGCTGGTGCCAAGTCTTATAGATATGGTGGCCTCCGGACCCTGACAATACTGGTGACTGCAGTTGATCCAAGGGCCACTTCCTGAGACAAGAGATGGAAGTGTCTGTCCTACACAGCCATCTGCCTGCTTGCCTTGCCTCAGCTGGAGGAGGGAGGATCCAACCTCTATTAAGAGCCATTAACAGGCTTATTATGCTGGCCATTGGTCTGACAGATTTTATTAACCTCTCCCACGATCAGTGGCTCCCAGTTCTCTGCATTAATGATCATTGGAAACAGGATTCCTGTGGAATAATGTAGTAGGTTTGCATTCGGAGTAAATGAGTTCATTCTGATTAATACAACTCGGGGATGCATGGCTGGTCACCTTTTGGAGGAGCCTGCCCTTTGCCAGTGATGTTCAATTGGATTTCCAAAGAAGTTCTCCCTGATGGCTTCTGGGAAATTCACTTCCATGATGTCATTAGCGATGGGCCATAGATTGTGGTTTCAAACCAGTTAAAAGGTCTTGAAAAGAACTGCATTTTCTGGTTGGGGCTGAGAGTGAGCATGAGCCGAGGAGGAAGACCACATTCTCTGAGCTTTCTAAATGTTGAGATGCAGTGGATTGGAGAGCCCAGTATCTTACAAATGCACTGGGGCTTCACTTCGCATTCATATCAATTATATAACCTTTGTCAGATAGCACACATATCCCCCCCTCCCCAAAAAGGAAGATAAAAAGTCAGTAGCAGAAAAATCAAATATGCTTTCTGCTTCCAAAAATCTAATAATTAGGCTGGGATTGACACAAATTAGGATGCTGCCAAAAAATACTGAAAACAGTGACTCATTCTGTGTTTCAATTAACAGTTTCTCAGTTTCCCTTATAAACAGTGAAGCTGACAAAAATTAATTATCTCAGAGGGATAAAATATTTCCTTCCAAAGTAAACAAAACACCGTGTGCTAAAACAATAGCATATGCAAACAAAGGCGGTGGAGAGCCTTTCTCCTGCCTCATCAGTGAAGTCATCCCTGGGTAGACTTTACTTTGAGTGGTCCCCTTCCAAATGTACTGGGAGTAAGGACACTGTTCTTCTTACCTCTTTTTTCTCCTTGCATTACTCATCTCTTCCCCTCCTAGTCTTTGCATAATGCCAACTTTTATCTGAATGTCTTGGACACAACCATAAGCATGAAATATTGATTTCAGTATTAGCATGATAAGTGCACTTTCAATTTTCTGCGGGCAAAATAGTCTTGTCAATAAATACTGAGATTTAGCAGCTTGTAGAACATTCTTGGTGAGTAGCAACAGGGAGAAGGATGATAGGGTGATACTGACTTGAGAGTTGTCTCTACCCACCCCATGCTAGCAGATAAGTAGGTGTTATAAACTGTTTCCCTGGAGAGAGGCATAAGTGTCAGCGATGACATTGGGCCCAACTTGAGAAAGAGGCAAGACTTAGTCACCAAGGCAACCTGGGAATTGACAGTTGTTCTCTAGGGTATGGAGATTCCAGTAGTCCCCATCTATAAGGACCAATCAAATGCTTTTCCTAAGGATTTTTGATCTTCTCAACTGAAGGAAGTTCAGGAAGACTACACATTTCAAACATCAGGCATGGTGGCTATAATCCCAGAACCCTGGAAGGTTGACTTGAGAAAATAAAAGTCCATGCCCATTGGGGGAAACTTAATGACTCAACAAGATTCTGTCTCAAAACAAAACATTAAAAAGGATAGGAAATAAAGCTTAGTGCAAAGACTTGAGTTCCATCATCAAAAAATTAAATGATAATTTTTAATATGATCTTTGCTCCTTTCCTTGGTTATTGAACTATCTCTGGTTCAGCTGAGTTGAGTTGAGTTGAGTTAAATTGAGCTAAACCAAGGAGCCAGCTTCCAATCGGTCATCTCAGTCATCAAGAGGCTTTCTAATAATGGGCCAACACCACTTTGCCCACTTCTTATGTGCCTGAGGTCTCCTGTCCTTTTTTCAGGCATCAGTTAACTCTGATATTCGGTCTGCCCAAACTATGTCCTTTCCCTCCAAGTCCCCAAAATAATGCTTATGGTTTATTTTTGGTGCTAATGGATAGAGACCTTTAAATGAAGGTTTAGTTCACTAAAAGATCCTATGGTTTTCAGGTACATGAAGGAGAATTTCTGGGCTATGTTATATTAGATATGTCTTCCTTTATTTAAAAAATGGAAGTCTTCACAAATGCTCCTTGGGGACAAACAGATGGTCAGAACATCAGTTATAAAGAGCTATGGAAATGGAAGCCAAAGCAAGCCTTAGTAGAACATCACTATAGCCTGGCTTCCTGTAACGTTGCCAGACTCGTTCCTGTAGCTTAAAGACTTCACACAGTAAAGACAGTGATGGTAGTTGGTTTGCAAGTCCAGCTAGGGGAATCCCTGGTTCTCCATCCATTTGCCAGCTAAGAACCCTCTCAGCACTAACTCCCCTCTCCCCACACCCTGCTCTCTTTGCCTCTAACCCCCGACAGGACAAGGATGAACGTCTTGGATACTCTTCAGGAAACACTCTGTATCCCAAAGCAGAGATTATCTGTTTCCTCTCTGTTTTACACTGCTGAAGGTGTAGTTTTGCTTCAAGGAAACCTGATCTTGGGAAATCAGGAAATACATACACAGGATATAGAGCTTACATCTCTGTGGGACTTAAATCTTCTATCCACATTACTTGCAGGAACTTTTTCAGTCTCAAATGAAGTTTAGGAAGAGGATTCAATTTGTAAAAAATTTCTTTCCATTTTCTAGGAACTCAGAGTCAAGGCTGTTCTTTTATAGAGTCCCTTTTGGGGGCTGGAGATTTAGCTCAGCGGCATAAGCTCCTGCCTTGC